GCAAGCGAGATAATTCGAGATCGAGGAGGCAACAGGCGAATGTCGCTTACGTCAGGTGAGTCACAATTTTTCTTTAAATTATTCATAAATTATGCCAGAAGTTCAGTCATTCTTAATCACAAATTTCCCGGCGAACATCGGGTATTTTCTGTATTTATTTCAAGTTACATATTAGTGTCTCTTATTTTTTTATTTATTTTTTCTTTTTTCTTCTTTTGCACAAAATCTTTATTGATAAAAATTTAAAAGCAATAAATACATGAGAAATAGTTAATATTGCAAAAATTCCTAGAGCTTATCTGAGTGTCATCTATTTTTCGCTTATTTCTATATTACACTAAAATTGTTATCTTATTTTTTATAATTAATAATTAATTAATATTTTAACTAAATTTTTATGAATTGTTTAATAAAACTTCGAAGAGAAAGTTCTTCTTATAATTTGACTAGAGAATCTGTTATTTATAATGAGAGAAAGTGTGTGACTTTTGGTACATTCTTATAGTTATGAATTATATGTGTGTTGATGTAAAATTTTATAAAATTATATTTCATAAAATTAAAAAAACGGAGAATATATCTGTTTCACTTAAATCTGTAGGCACGTTTTGAGAGACGTTGAGAGAGAAAGCGCGTAGATGAAAGGAAATTTGGTCGGCGGATACGTGTGATTCCCGTGCGATAAATTAGGCCGCTGCATCGTCACGCACACATGATGCGCACCATGCAAATGATTAAGTGTAAATATGAAATTACAGCGAGCGTCGTCATGAAGAAGAACGCGTGGCAAGAGAGAAAATGTTTTTAGATTTCTTCGCAGGTGAACGGCGGGAAACGGAAAGTACGCGGCGAAATTCAAAACATGCAACTCATCAGAAAATTTGAATTCTTATTTGAATGTTTTCTTTAAATTTACATGAATAATGTCTTTTCTGAAAAAATTTACATTTAAATTAGATTTTACAACACTGGAAGTATGTGTAGTATTTGTTTCAAAATTGCTGCTAAGAAAAGATTGTCTGTTATTTAATGTTAATCATTAACGATTCTGACATTCCGTATACCTACGTATTTTATGTGTGCGTCTGCAAATGTGATTTTTTATCCGTAAACTTGAGCAATCTATGCAGTGGCAAAATTCCTTCGTGTCTTCTCCGAAGGCGTAAACATTGCGAAAAGCGGGACAACGTTGCGAAAGCGTGCTACTCGTCGCGTGAAATTTAGTGTAATAACAAGTCTGAGCTAACTCTCCGACACCTCCTTATACCTTCGTTACATTTGGCTTTTCTCTGGCATTAATTCAATTAATTCAATTATGATTCAATTATGTCACGATTACCCATTACATCATGCCCTGTAAATTTAATTTTCCGGACATCAAAGTGTTTTCCTAGTTAGTACTTGACTATAAAACACGATCGTGACACGCAACCTTTACAAGAAAGTAGCTTTATCCTTCCGCCAATAATATTTTATATATATATATATATTTTCTCTTGAGAAAAAACGAAGATAATAGAAAGCAGATTTCATAATATGTTAGAAAAAAAATGTGCACTAAAGATATAAACCATAAAATCAATAAACGATTTATAGGAAACCTTTAGATTTCATATCTTAAGATAAATTTTTAATCGAGAGAAATAGGAAATAGTAAATCTAAAATTACCTGTTTTTAAATATTTATCTAAATGTAATCAGAAAACACGTTTTATTATCATTATAACATGAAGCAAATAAAATCAATGTAGAATTAAAAGCACTTCCAAGTATGATTATTAAAAAATGACGCAGTAACACCGAATGTTTACATTATAATACTTACAAGAAATATTAACTGCAATTTTATATTATATAAAAATAATTTTCTGCATTTTCTTATACAACAAACTTCAAGTTAAGTTTCAGACTTGATTATGTATTTACTGAATTTTTTACGCTTACGATCGCTGGCAATCGGCAATCACAGGAAGGAGATTTATTTCGCGGCGGATAATTCTCTTAGATTAGCGTTCCTCCATTCCTGAAGTGCGGCAATATCCTTCTCGATTCTTCTTTTTCTCTTCGCAAAACGCGAAAAAACAGGTGCCCCGCTCGTTTCTGCGGCGAGGTAGTACGTGCTTTTTTTATGCGCGACAAGTAGAACGTCGCGCATTGATAATGCGGCGCATTCGTTCAGGTGCTCGCTCGTGTGTAACAAGTGCAACTGCTTTATTACGAGGTTTCCCTCCTTTTCTCCGACATCTCTGCCTCCCCCTCCCCCTTCCCCTCCCTCCCGCAGCTCCTCGGTCGCTCGTGCACGCGCGACAATCGATAATGCCACGCAAGGACCACTC